CGTCTTCTTAACACATGTTGTGTTCTCATACTCGTGCACATACACAATGCCAGTGTACGGTAATGCAGGTTATTTACAAAATTATGTGGCAGATGGCTGAATTAGTCCTCACAATCAGCACAGTTATTAAAGTGAATAATTTAATTATTAAATAAATTTATTATTCAGGACAAGTAAAGTATTAAATAAATTGAACATATTCCAGTAACTTAAGTGGTTTATCAGTTGATAAGATCAGACTAATGAATACAAGAAATGTTAAAGCATTTAATATGAGTTTTATAACATACATATTATGACATACTTGAGCTTGTAAAGTAATAAAACAGTTTAATGATGGTCTAGAAAAATGAATTTCTAAGACTAAAATAAATATGGTAAGCTCATGTGGTACACTGTTATGTTACTCCTAAATAGCAGATTTAGCATAAAGATAATAAAGAGCCCAACATATAAAAGTCCCTTCTCCCTACTTTTTTTTAACCTGAAATGGACAATCGCGTGACAGGCGGGTATACTGACCACTATACTACCGAAGACTTGATAAGTTATGCAATGGTTGAAATATATTAACTTTATAACTATAAGTTGTGTAAATCTATATTTAGCTCTTAATGTTAATGATTCTTGCCCATAGTACAACGGTAGTATGCAATTAATTTAGATCAAGCGTTTCCAACTACTGTACCGGTGTACCGGTATATTGACTATATATATACCACAACTTACCACAAGTTGTGGTATATAGTCAATGAATGTATCATCCTGAGTCGTACCAAAACAACCACGAATTTCTTGTTGAATGTATTAAGTGAGAATGTATTATTAAATAATTAGTTGGAAGTAAAATAAAACCATTTGCATGACTTTTACACGACACAAAGCCCTTATCTGTAGCTTGAATATAATTTAAAATTATTTGTCTTTGAAAGTAAGCCAAGTTAGCAATAATAACAATATATCAGGCATCCAGACCTAGGTAAATAAAAGCAATACTGTATAATTATGCTGTGAGCGCTGGAGACAAAATATATAGCCTAACCACAGACTATAGAGTAAACATAAGATATTCTATAGTTTGTCATATAATGATTAACTTCTTACCAATGTATAGCCAAAATGCCATTTTCATTTGAGCATGCATAAAAGGAAACGTTATTTTAAATTAGTCAATAGCAGTGGGAAAACTTTTCAAGACAAGTTGATAAATAAACTTGAGAAAAAGAAGGATTAACCGTTAAACTTGTATTTTGTGAATAAGAATGCTACGAAACAAACCTACAACCTGCAAAATAAAAATAGGACCAACTAACTAAATGCTAAATCCGCTATTTAGGAGTAACATAACAGTGTAGCACATGAGCTTACCATATAGTTGTTCAAAATGTTTCCTCTCCGGCCGGGAATCGAACCCGGGTCTCCCGCGTGACAGGCGGGGATACTGACCACTATACTACCGAAGACTTGATAAGTTGTGCAATGGTTGAAATATATTACCATAGATGAAGTATGAATTTGAACGGTTGGTGTTTTTGGAAATCGGTCCCGGGTCCAGGTCTTACCATGAGTACTATGGTAATAGCTTATTCTCTATATGGGAAATTCGCTAAAACTATCACTGATTTAATAGGCACAGTATCTTACTGATTTTATTTGTTTGATACTAAATTAGAACAAAAAACAAATTATGTAAATCAGCGTCGATCTTAACTTAGCAAAATATCAAATCAATGTTTATCCAAAACTATACCAACTACTGGCAATCAATAATAGGTTATTTAAGTATGTATTAGCATTTACTGATAATATTTGCTGGTTTTAGAAGTGCGCTGATGTCAATTTGTTTTTATTAACACAAGAAATTTCAAATATGTCTTAATAAATGCACTTGTACAGTGTTTTACTGCCTTTAACAATAACATTACGGAAACTAACGCAACAACAGATGTCAGCCGCATACGTTTTTGTGTTATACAATGGTGATATGTACTTTGGAATAATCTTTGCAAAAGCCTATAAAATGGTAGAATAGGTACTGCAGCTAACATCATATGAAAATTTGTTGAAAATAAAAATTGCCTTGAAGATTTTAAATTTGTATTTGTATGAAATTAAAAATGCATTAGACCCTCATCGTACAACGGCCTGTTACCTATTGTTTATAAGTGACTAATCCCTTTGAATTAAATGGAGTAAAATGTTAACAAAGGTGATTTCCACTAAATCTTGCCTGTGCTATTTCGGTACATCTGGCCAAGGATGCACTTTAGATCAGGCTGTGGTGGAACTGGAAAAATATTTCTTCGGCTTACCTTATCTAGCGTTGTGGAGATTATGAATTATTTGTTTCTACTTGCAATTCAAGAAAACACTTGCTTTTAACGATTACTGACATAGTTGGAAAATATATTTACATATTTTTTTATTAACACTGATTTCTTCTGCATAATATGTTGTATAATCGAGAGATTTACAGTATTTCTCTTGGTTCTAAAATCACTGCCACTAAATATTATAAACGGGAAGAAATTGTCGATATTAAAGTAGCAATTAATATATCTATATACATAGTTAATTTGTTAAGAGTCAAATTTTGAGCAGAGTTCCTAGAGATTTAAGGAACCGATTTGCAATTATGGAAACGTAGAACAGTTATAGAACGCCACTAGTGAGAAGAAAATAGAGATTGGTAATAACTTTTTAATAATTTGGTATAACCAACCTAAATGATAAAGAGCCCAACATTGATTCATATAAATGGTTAACGAGAATGTATACCGAAGTGCTGCCAACTTTTAGAAACATGGGCTTTGCGATAACTGCAGAGGAAAACACTCTAAGGCTGAAAATACTAGTACATCAAGTACATTGAATCTGTGTTTTCATCAAGTGAAAAAACAGGAATGCCTTTATTAATACTCCCATTGAGGGTTTAAGGTTAAAGGGGAAAAAACTATCTAAACAACATCAGGCCCTGCAACTCATCTTTGCTCAGTTAAATATATTGTGATTTAAAAGTCCCTTCTCCCTACTTTTTTTAACCTGAAATGGACAATCGATTAAGAAATTACAGCTGTTCAAAGATTCATTGAATTTGTATTGATATTATACGCTACCTCCTTAAGAAATCCGCCCGATAGAAGACGGAAGAAAATCATAAACGTAAGCATAGGGCGATATGCACATCAAATTAAAGGTCTTTATTATTAGAATACATTGTCGCAAATTTGAGCTAAAAAACATGAGTAAAAAACTGCAACCGATTAAAGACTCGAAACTTGACAGATTCTAAAAATCTTTGAATGGCTACCATTTTTGACTCGGATGTCTATTTGAGGTTCAGTTTGCAGTATAGGTGCAAGGCGGGATACACTTGAATGAGTTCGCGAACCAGCATGATCGGACAATGGGAACGGGGTTTTACGAGGGGTTTTATATGGTAAAAAAATGTTTTTTCTCATTTTTGACCGTCAAAACACACAATTTTCTAATTTCTCTATAAACCACTTTGAAGAGATTTAAAAAACAAATTGTTTATTACATTGAAGTGTTTTTGTACGGTTATTGATTTTGGAGAAAATTTAAAACATTTTGTAATTTTGAATTTCCCATGTTATTTTAATGAAGAGTAAGTAAATTGTTATAGTTTGCTTGTTTATGGATATATTTTGATAAAACTTGGTGAATTTATTTATTTTTATACAAATATATTAATATTTTACTAAATACACACTTATCCAAACCTCTTTAGCAGCAAACCTAGGTACTCGTTAAACCTAAAGATTTTAAATAGATTAAAGTGAAAATCGAATCAGGGATGTGGAAATTCGCTTCGTCTGTAGGTATTTTACATTGGTGGTTATCAATGCTTAAGTAATAGAATAAATATTATATTACAGTATCCACAGAAGTAAGATGGACAATGTAAATTCTATGTTTAAAGAGCAGAAGCAAAGGTCCATATTTAAACGTTAATAACGAGGCCAGATTATGTACTTTCGTTCAGTAAATACTTTTATTTAAGATCCGATCACAACCAGGTTCACCAATCACTAGTTTGCTCTATTATACCTCACATAACGTATCGGGTTGAAAATACCGAAAATACCTACCTAGCAATTTTCTTTATCGTCTTTAATTACGATTTTATATAAAGATTAATTACTTGACTTTAAATCTTTAACAGTTACATTATTAAGAACACAGTATTTCACTAATTTATTTTCTAGACAGTAACAATCAAAGAATAAATGTTTATTTGTTTACTTATCTCATTCTATTTCGATTTGACACTGTTATAGAACATCCTGTCAAAAATAGGCAAACATGTTTTTTTATAACTAAGGTCGCCGTATTTTATATTTTTAGTACCTATTGGCTGGATATTTGGGTATTATGGTCACTGATGGTAAAACAAGCCTTTATTATGTCACCAACTATAATTGGTCTAATTACTTTATACAAAGTTTTTAGAAAGTTGTTACAAAGTTTAAAGACGCCCATGGGTACACTTTAAATTCTCATCTTGAAAAATGTAGATTTTTACCAGATTCGGTAATACCTTAGTATATTCTCAATATGACCTCTTTTATATAAAGTAAGAATCGATATTGTATTCCATGTTTACATGTTTACTCCATGTTTACTGTAACGTAGAACATAGAGTTTAGTCTAAGTTCCTCGTTTGCATGTTCTATGTTACAATGTCGTTTATAAAACACCACTTATAAGCTTTCATGGTGAGAAAAATCAAATACTGAAACCCTGCAATCTACGGAGGTCTTTCTCAAAACAGCGTTATTCAATAACAAAACCTGAAGAAAAGGAAACCCTGCATAACAGATCTTGAAAATACAAGCAATTTTGTTGCAGACCACATTGTTAGTTACAGGTTTCCCTCGATATAAGAGCGATTCAGTGACCAATGAGAGGCCAGAACTGCGGCTGTCAGCCAATCAGAAGCGTCAGTCCCCGGACTAGGACCACTCAACCCAGCTGATCGCTGCTCGTGCTCAGTCCACCGCGGGAGTTGTGCATAACAGTGGTGTGTGTGTTGTTTACCTCTTAGATACTCTACGTGCAACCAGTGCTTGGGTAGGTCACCTTTAAAATGTACCTACTACTAAATATCGCTATGCTACCGGTTCTCACAACTGCTTGTATAGTAGAACCCCGGTTAACCGAAACGGTTCCATAAAGTAATTCAGAACTAAAATATAAGTAATACGTAATGTAAAATGCTTTAGTAACTTCAGTTGTTTAGTTTAAAGTATATTCTAACCCATAGTAACATTTCTGTTGCGTTGCTGAAATTGCTGGAATAAAATACTGTATTATATAGAAATCGTTTTAAATTTATTTTTTCCAACTCGCCGTGGGAATGCTAGGCTATATAGCATATGACGGGTTAACCGAAAAATTGGTTATCCGAAACGGCTCTCCCCTCTTTATTTCGGTTAACCGGGGTTCTACATTCACTTTTAAAATATGACAGAGAATCGTTACATTATTCGAAATATTACTTTGATTAGATTTATTATTGTGTCTAGAATACTGATATTGTACCACACAGACTTTTAAAGTGTAAATTTTTTTTATAATTTTAAACATGCATTTTTTACATACCTCAATTAATATAATTCTTCAATATTCACCCAAATATTTAATTTGAAAACAACGTTTTGGTAGTTTAAAATTCGTTTCATGCCTTAAAAACTTGTACATATTTTCCCTTTCATCCCTTTGGTTTAGTCATTGAGTATAAAAAGAAATATATATATATTTCAAAAGTACATAAAGGTTAGCCATTACTTTTCTTAGTCTGTGATTCTACGTAGCTTCCTCTATGGAGTCTAACTGGACCAGTAATGATGAACAGTGGAACCCTTTGGCTAGCGGGAAATATTATTGTTTTCTAGCTTCACATGGATTCTCACTTATAAACATGCCAATAGTTTTGTTTTTAATTTATTTATTTGGGTTTCCAGACTATTTGGTAGTTCTGTGGTTTTTGTAACGAAATAGTGCAAACCATGTCCTATAATACTTTTTGTTAGATAGCATCATTATTGATATCCCAATAAAAAAATGGCATAGAAGTCCAGAAATTATCTCACTCGAACCGCTAAACGAGTAAACAATATAGTTAATACCAACTCCACAAGCAAGATTTATTTACTTTTAATAAAGTAGTTTAGCCGTTTAGTCAGTAGGCCTACCATCATGGTATTTTACTACCTTTTGATGGTCCATGGTTGGAGAAAAAATACTTATTTTCTACTAATACAGTATAAATGCAGAACATATCGTGTTGGCTGCTCAGAGTGTTCCCACGAAACCTTTGTATTGTTTACCAAGTCAGAAACATGCAATCCGAAACAAAGACACTCCAGAACTCTGTGAAGTGTTACCACACCCAGAATCGTAGGATATCTAGGCTAACAGCAATAAAACATGTGACTGTTTACATCGTCGGTTGTTGGCAACAATCAGCTGTTTTGTTGACTGTTCCAGAGACGCGGCACGGCGGGAACGATCTACACTCACCAACAGGCAGGCTGGAGTAATGCCCACAAGACAAGACACATTTTAATGGTTGTTCGGTGAAGGTACATCCGTTTCGTTTTCTATAAATGTTTAAGTTCATTGTTTGATTTTGTATTGTACGATTCATTAGACATTTTATTATTATTTTTTTACCTAAATTTGGGGTTTGTTAACAAGGTGTTAAAGGTCCGTGAGCTAATATCGGTACGCCAACTTTACGGACCTAGGTGTTAAGTGTAAGAAATACAAAACCTAACATATGAGAGTATATCTATGCTCTAACCTTTTTGTCTTGCGACATTTTGGATTTTTTCAAAACGATTTTACACAACTTTATATTTGGCAAAAGCAACCCTGTGTTGTAAAATTTTAAGATTTTAAGTATTCAAAGGTTTTTAAACAGTCGCGGTATATACAGCACCTAGGTAATGCCAGTATAAAGTCTTGGGGAGAGTTACAGAGAGACTTAACAGAATAACTTGTGTTATAAGCTACAATTCAATTTATATTTACAGATCAGAGCAACAATTAATTGGTAGGCCTAGGCCTGTACAGGTGTCCAAAAGGTATTTACAAATCATTTACAATAATTTTAATGGGTCAAAATAAAACAAAAATCAAGAATAACACTTTTTTCCTGAAACACCTGGTTAGCGAGATATTAATCAATTTATTTTTATGTTTTAAATTAATACCTTAAAAACTACTTAAGATATATTTTTTATTTAAATATGGCGACCATTGTAATTGTAATTATTGTAATTGTAATTGTTATAGCTTGAATTCATAAAAGATGGCTAATTTTATATTAAACTGTCAGGAACACTTTTATTTAGCATTCAAAATCGTTTATCAAACGACACCAGTACAAAAAGAGCGAATAGTAAACTAATAAAAGCTGAGATATATTTTTTTGCGCAGAATGAGGCGGACACTGAATGATGACTGCTTTGCCTTATTTTGCCTGTCATGTACAACTAAATATCTTTATTTCTCATCGGGTTACCATTTGATCTTAATTACAACACATTCTTACTAAACCCACGTCATGACCCATGAATCCAGGCGTGTGAATGCCAAGCCATATCAAAAGTTTACTTTTGAACGTGTGATTTTTACCCAGAGTTGTCTAGTTATCTTGAAACCTGTCCTTGATAATGCTATCTCTTATCAGTGACTCATTTTGACGAGATCTGAGTGTCGCAGAAATAGAGCGGAATCGATAAAAAGTTAAATAAAATTTCGAAATATCAGTAGAAACTACACGCCGATATTTAATGGGAATATTACAAACATAACACAGTAACCACCTTAGTTCATCGTGTTTTCGAAAATGCACATAGATTGGAGCTTTTGTCTTTCGATCCAGAAACTGCAAGATTAAGATTAAAAATTAAACAGTTTCATTTCAGTTTTTATTTGGTACATTTTAGATCGCAGAGAGTACATGATAAAAAATAAATTAAGTTTAACAGACCGAAACACTGGTAATTTGAATTTAAAATCTGTATTAATTTTGAGTATGCTCTAAATTATTAACCATCCACCGCTAAAGGCACTGAACTTTATCAGCTGGTCCTTAAACATTTGAAATTAAGTAAGTGGTCCTGGCTGAAGAAAACAATAATTGGTCTTCGCCAGCAATGGAGCTGCGCAGGTCCTCTGACTTTTTTTAACACTCGTCACTCACTCTACATTCTTATTCATAAAAAGAAAACTTTTAGGTACAATAGTACTCTTAGGTTGTTGAAAGCAGTAACTAAGAGTTCGTATGAATATGTTATTTAAATGTACTATAGGAAAAGAAATAACAGAAAATATATTTTAAACATTTTAGTTTCGTAAGCTATTTTTGATGGATCTAAAATATTAAGATTCCCCTCAAGCGATATGAGATATGATTCACGTGGTGTTAACTTTGTTCATGTCGCGCCAACTATCACCTGATTGAGTCAGTTTCATTTACCAGATCAATTATCACCACAGCAGTTCGTTATCACATTTGATAAGTGTTATCAGTGCTAGTGTCAGCGATGGGCTGCACCATGGTCCTTGACGTGTGTTTGTGCTACTCAAATTTACCTTCCCAGCAATGACCAAAGAGAACTGGGTAATGTTCACGGATGGTGACCAAGTAATTTCTAAATAGCTGAAGAATACTCGGAGATTAATTATTCTTGAAAGATTTTAGGGTAATATTATATTATAGATGAAGATATTACTTCATCTATGATCATATGTATTCTGTAGCAGTAAGATAAATGAAATCATTGGTTGTGCTAATTTACATAAGTTTATAACCGCCAACCGCATAGATTTTCTATTAAATAAAGCTCTTCCTTTCTGTGGAAAGTGGGTGTCAATTTGCTTCAATACCTAATCTAATAATAACAATAATGATAATTATAATACTCTATTGTCTTCACAATATACATTGTACCGACGTTACAATTAATTTACTTTTAACTCAGATTTAGTATTAATTTAAAACTGTTTATAATTTCATTTTTAAATGTTGATGCATTTATCATTGAAGTCTTCAACAGAATAGATCGGATCTTCAGTAAGGATTTGTTTGAATTTTTCTTGTATTCTTTTAATTTCAAGTTTTGAATATTAATTGGTTATTTGTTAAATCATTTTCTTCCATTGTAATGAAGTTGTTTTTCATAACATTTTGTTTTGTGTAAAGTAGAAGAAATTATTTAAATTTTCTGAAGCTATAATTCTTCAAACATAACTCATAATTTTTCCAGAATATCTCAAAATTATTCTTTAAAAATAGTAATGTTTTGTAAATATATATTGAGTAAAAGGTCATTAACTGGTACTTTTTTAATACTTTCTTACAGGATTGGCATGGATTCAATTTAAAAATAACTCTTAATTCAGACTTTTGTAATTTAAATATTTTACATTATTATTTCCATCAAGATGAAATTTAATATATTTATTTACTTCAAATATAGCGTTTGTAGTTGATATTTTCTTTTGAAATCCAAATTGATTGTTTGACAATATGTTTTTTCTTTTTTAGAAATAATAAAAGTCTATGCAGAATTATTTTTTCAAATATTTTACTGAATGAAGAGAGGATAGATGTCTCTAATTGATTGTTTTTTGATAATCACCAGCTTCAAAACTGGTATAACTATGGAAATTTTTAATAACTGTGGAAACTTACCATTAGTTATGGACTGATTTATTAAATACGTCACAGGAGTAGACAGTTCGAAAGAGCGAGCTTTTAAAATTTTAGAAGAGATCTCGTCAAAGCCATAAGAGATAGAGGATTTCATATCTTTAATAGTTTTTATGACCTCTTCTCCATTTGTATCGTGTAAAAATATAGAATTATATCTGCACAATGTTTCAAAAGATGATTTGTTAACATTGTTTACTTGTCCAATGTTTATGAAAAGTGTATTGAATTCTTCAGCAACCAAAATCTGGATCAGTAAGCTTGTTTCGATTTGAATCCTTAATTAATTAATTGGTTTGTAATTTTAACTTGGCCCTTTTTTATTTTGATTAACAGTGTTCCGTAGTTCTCTCATAGGGTTCTTGGAATTAACAACTTTGTTCTTGATCTCTGCCGATTTTTTTTTGTACTTAGTAACAGAAACTGTGTGTTAAATAAAAATACCTCCCTTCTATCTTTTTACATCAAAACAAAACTCCAATATTAATGTAATGGTCAGTTCAAAATAAATATGTTTCATACTTTAAATCCGAATGTTTAGGTTAATATTTAAAATCTTTTATTCACATTTGTTAAAAAATAAACTTTTAAACTTGTGAGCTTCAATAAAAATGTTTTTATGCAAAACATTATTACATTATGTCATTTATAAGAAAAAAATCGTTAATGCAGTTGGTAAAAAAGTTTGTTTAAACAAAATAAAAACTGTATTTAGGTTCGATTATCTACATTTTAGAACAACAATCTAACCTGCAAGCTGTCACCTTTCCTTAACATAACATGCGTATAAGATAACTTCGGAAAGGTATGTTAATTGTCTTTTACCTTAAATGCTGATTTCCGAAAGACTTACTAAAGGGACAATAGAACGTAAAGATTGCGCATGACCAGGATCAGTTTACAAAACTTGATCTTTCCAGAACCAAGCCACAAAAAGTCGGCGTTCGTTATTAAACACGGCCACGTGAAACCTAATACTGACCTTGCGAGTACGTAGTTGCCTACAAAGTCCTTCGCTCGGTCGACAAGGCACGTGGGTGTAGGAGGCTTAACTGAAATATACTTTCCTTAAAATATTGAAAATTACACCCCTCTCATCGGAAATACCAGGATTCCACGATCATAAGTGAGCATTGCTTGCAATTTAAGTTGTAAAAGTGTCATCATGTACCTAACAGAAACTGCATTATTTATTAGTTGATATGGAAGTAAACTCATAGAAATACGAGTGTTTCCGTCAGATCTTATAACGTTTAAATAAATAGGTAGATTATTTTGTACTCACTAGTTTAACATTGAAAACATACCCTATCATTTCTTTTTTATTAAAAATATTTACATTTTATTTTTAGCGTTGAGTGAGAAATATTTCAAGTTAACTATATTGCTAGTTCCGTAGACAGAGTACAATAAAAATAAAAACACTTATAATAAATTATACATATTGTATACTAATGTGATTGTAAGGGAACAAACTAATGGAGAAAGCTAATCAAAATACTGCTATGTTTACCTGTAAACGTTTAAACAAGAAGTTAAAGGGAGTAAGATAAGACAAGGTGTTTTTTTTTTAGTAGATAGTTTGTTTTTAGAGCGATTATGCATGATTATCTCAACCTGAACATTTCTGTAGTATCATATACTGCTCTGAGATGTACAGTACTGTAGTCAATGGTATGTGTCGTCGTCGTGCCAATGTCCTGGCCAGGGGCCGGTGGTCGGTAAACCATGAAGACATAAAGGCTTCCGCCACGTCCATGTGTTGACATACATTGGTATGCGATGCTAGCATTGTAGTTATACCGCTGAACGATACAGCATGGCTACTGGGAATATACTCATTACTGTACTACCAACCCG